GGGATCCACTTTGAGCTTGGCTGGAAGAAGTAGGTCCCTGGGGCATGCCTTGAAGATTTCAAAGAGCTCTGTTTCTCTCTCCCTCTACCCCCACACCACTCTTTCTCTCTTCTTCCTGGCTACCATAAGGTGAATAGATGCTTTACCATGCCCTTCTGCTAAAATGGACTGAAACTATAAACATTAAAAACTGTTCCTCCTTAAGCTGTTTTGCTCAGGGATTCGATTACAGTGACAAAGTCTGGCTAACACAGCCTTACTACCAAGTGTTATTGGACAGACCCACTCTTTCTCATGGCCTAAAACATAGCAGATGCAGTTTGTTTAAAGACTCGTGCTAGCCTTTTCCAATTTTACTCACCTTCTTTCCACCCTGGTCTCTGTGATAATTATTTTATTATTGTTAAAAATAGTTTTATGCTTTTTTAAAGTGGGATTGTTCCATGAAGCCCAAGTTAGACTCATGCTTTCACTATGTAACCCAAGCTAGACTTGAACTTTCAATTTTTCTTTATCAGCTGCTCAGGTCATACAATCGTCTCACTTTTATTATATATACATACCCATTTGTGTCTCAGTTCTCATTAAAAGTTAAGTCACTGGGATTATTGATAATTATGTATATTTAGTTACTTTATTTCTTTTAGCCATTATGTATTATTCCATTAATGTGTACAATGTGTGTTTTAATCGCATGCAAGTCAGTTGCTATTGTAATTCTCTCATGAGTATTCTTATATATGCCTCCATAGTATACAATCATGTTGGGTTTTTATTCTGTAAATAATTTTACTTATATAAGTAATTTTCAGTATGTGTCAAGGGAAAGGTATCAACCCACTATACTATTTCAAATATAGCCAACTTTAAAACAATATCATAGTGTACTGATGCTTCTAACCAGGCACTACTGTGAAAGTCACCAAGGACTTCCTTCAGGGGGTACAAGTCTCATCCCTGAACAGAGTAGTAAGTATTAGTGAAACACAGATTTAAGGAAGATGGTAAAATACCTTCCCAATGAATGTGGTCAGAGTAAGGACATTACCATCTTTTCTGTTTATATGGCCCACAGCTGGCCAGAGTTCACCTGATTCCCACTTCCACTAATACAGCACTAGAGGCAATGGGCTGGGGGATAGTCACTAAGCTTAACATGAATGCTTGTTGAACATTTACACATTACCTATTTAATAATACATAAGTAATGAATAAATAGGGTTTATGGGTTTTTCATTTCTTTTATTTTTGTTCGGTGTATTTATTAGTGCCTACTCTACACAACATGATGGGAAGTGTTATAGGGGTCCTGAGAAGTCCTCAGAACCTAGGACACTCCCAGGAAAAGATGGCTTTCACCATGTCCAATGGGTTTTTATTTCTCCCTTAGTGACCATCCAGAAATGCTTGTCTCCTGCTGTTGGTGAATAAGTGCAAACCATGGATCATGCTGAAGAAAATGAAATCCCTGTGGCAACCCAGAAGTACTATGTAGAAAGGCCTATCTTTAGTCATCCTGTCCTCCAGGAGAGGCTGCATGTCAAGGACAAGGTCTCAGATTCCATTGGGGATAAGTTGAAACAGGCATTCACGTACGTCTAACCCATTTCCTCTTTCGTAGCATTCTGCTATGAGAATTCGGGGTCATTCGTGTAAGGGGGTCTTTCTGGGGAGCTGGAGGAGGAATGAGTGGCAGGTACTCCCAGTCTGCAGAACCACCCTTGGTGTCAGCCTTTTGATTGGTCACAAGGACATCATGCATTTCACATGTCTTAGTTTCATTTCTGTTGCTACAATAAAGCAACCTGACAAAAAGCAGCACAGAGAAGAGAGATTTATTTAGCTCACAGTTCCATCATTGCAGACAGGCAAGGTAAGAACCTAAAGCATCACAGCTACAGTCAAGAACAGAGAAGAAAACACAAATGGATAGCTCTATTCTCTCTTATACTATTCAGGGGCCCCAATTGGTGAATGGTGCCACAATAGACAAGGTTGTTCTACAATTAGCAATTAAGACAATTCCCCACAGACATCCCATAGACCAATTTGTTCTAGACAACCCTCATTGAGACTCTCTTCCCAGATAACTAAGTTATGTTGGTTTAATTAAACTAACCAGCACACCATGTTTATTGGTTTTCTACTCTGCCTTACATCTATAAAAAGGTTTACATATCTGTTATCAAATTCTTCACATAGTTCTAAAACATCTCCCTCCCCCATTGTCCTCAGCCTCTCTTTCTTGGTTCCCATGTGTGTCTCCCACCCTGTTCATGGAAATAAACGATAGAGAATATCCCAGTGTGGGTTCTATGGAGATGTTCCTCACAACCTTGTCTGTGTCTTTGTCTCCTTAGATGTACTCCTAAAAAAATAAGAAACATCATTTACATGTTCTTGCCCATCACTAAGTGGCTGCCAGCATATAAATTCAAGGAGTATGTGTTGGGTGACTTGGTCTCAGGCATAAGCACTGGGGTGCTTCAGCTTCCCCAAGGTTAGTACAGTACTTTGCGCATCTCTCTCTCTCTTCCTCTCTCTCTCTCTCTCTCTCTCTCTCTCTCTCTCTCTCTCTCTCTCTCTGTGTGTGTGTGTGTGTGTGTGTGTGTGTGTGTGTCTTCATTATCTGTTTCCCTTCCATCTCCTCAAATAATTGTGTAACCCATGTTCCTCACAGTTGCAGATTCATGATTTTTGTTTGGTTTTGTTTGCTTGTTTGTTTGATTTTTGTCATACTGTCCTAGTAACGTTTACCTTTCTAAACAATTTTTTCAGAAACTTAAGAAGCCTTGGGATTATTCACAGTAGAAAGTAGTGGTACTGACTTGAAGATCAGTCAGTTGCTCTGTAAACAATTTGTTGTAGCAGTGGTCAATTTCTTGCTTCTAGATCCATGGGGTAACTAAAAGGGATTATGATGTACTGAATTTTCTTTTCAACTCTGTGGTCTTACCTGTAATATAAGAACATTAGAAAATACCAATCTATGAGCCAGGCATGGAGGCACACACCCTTAATCCTAAAACAGATGGAACACTGTCATTTCAAGGCCAACTCGGTCCAAATATCAAGTTCTGGGTCAGCCAGGACTACACAGTAAAACCCTGACTCAAAAAACAAACAAAAACCCCTCGGTCTGTTCATCCTAACCAATACTTACTTAACACACTTATGTCTGGTTTTGGTTCCCCTTTCCCTAGAGAGCTAACTATCCATTTTGGGACTGAGACAAGAAACAAATAAAGGTACATACACATTTTTTGTTCTTCAAGACAGAGTTTCTCTGTGTAGTTCTAGCTGTCCTGGAACTCACTCTGTAGACCAGGCTGGCCTCTAACTCATAGAGATCCACCTGCCTCTGCCTCCAGAGTGCTGGGATTAAAAGCAAGAGCCACCACTGGCCAGCTCCATACACATTTTTAAGGTATAAACATCATAAAGGAAAAGACAGGACACTGTGGCATTGTTAGCAGCTAGTTTAGATTAAAAAAAAAAAAATGAAACTTCCTTTAGAAAATGGATTCCGCATGCATTGGTATAAGCAATTGTAATTAAACTCAGTGGTTTACACACAGAAAAGGAAGACATCAGAGTGCGAAGGGGTTGCTATAAAGAGGACTGAAAAAGGAGATGGAGTGAGAGGGAGAAAGTGGCCAAAAGTTAGTATAGATGTGTTATGAAACTGTAAAAAAAAAAAAAAAAAAAAAAAAATTAAAAGTCCATGTGAGCTGAGACCTCAGGCAGGTGAAAACAGGGGGAAAGCACTTGAGACAGAAGGAAATGGCTTCAGTTAAGGTGAAAGAGCTGTGTAGTTAAAGGCAGTGTACTGGGAACATAGGCACCAGATGTTGACAACTGGAAGTCCTCTAGTGGAGATGATGGCTGGATTCCCCGTAACCCTAGGGAAAACCCACCAATGAATGAAGTGATATTTCTCATGAAGATTTAATAAAGACAGAGTTTAGTCTTGACTGGTGACATAGGCTGGTAACCCTTGCTATTCAGAGGCTAAGGCGGGAGGATTACATGTTCATAGCCTCCGTAGGCCACAGAGAAGCCTCAACTCAGCCTGAGAAACAGCAAACTCCTGTCTGGAAATAAAAAGGGAAAATGAGCTGGGGTAGATAGCTCAGTGTAGAGCACAGCAAGGCCCTAGGTTCAATCCCCAGTAGAGAGAAGGGAAATGGAGAAGAGGGAGACAACCCAGAAGAAGGAACTAGGGCCAACAAGATGGTTTAGTGGATAAAGACTCTAACCGCAATAGCCTGGTGGAGGGAGACCTGATGTGTTAGAGTTGTCCTCTGGACTACATGTGTGCACCATGGCACAAGTATGCACACAGGCACACACATGTGCACAGACACACATGCACTTATAATAAAATACAAACATTTTATGAAAACAAAGAAAGAACTTATCAGAAACAATGGTGAGGCAAATCTTTAAAGAGACAAAAAAAAAAATCCCACTGCATATATGAAACAATCATGAGTTGCTGTTATTAAAATAACCATTGGAGAATCAGACAGAGCTCCCCAAAACCAAACCTGAGATGGTTCCCAGAATAACATTTGGTAGAGGGTTGGAAATTAAACTAGAGGAAATCTTCAGGAAACATAAATAAATCAGTAGCTATAAAAAGAAGATTAACACTGCTCAGATGAAGGCCTGAGCTTCAAGCCTGGAGCAGCAGCGTCAGAGGGAAGCTGGAGCTTCAGACCTGGGAGCAGCATCAGAGGTAGGTTAGAGCTTCAGGCTCCAAGCAGCATCAGTGAGAGGCCTGAATTCCAGCCCAGAAGCAGCATCAGAAGAATGCCAAAGCTTCAGGCCCTGAGCAGAATCAAGGGAGCCATGAGCCTCAGACCTGGGAGCAGTGTCAGAGGGAGGCCCCAGCCCCAGGAGTGAGGAGTGATCACGAGGTGAAGCAACAGCAGTGCTTTCCAGCAGTAGCTTCCAGAAACTATCACAAAAAGTTCCTCTGGAAAAGAGCACCTGTGACCCAGTCAGCATCCACTGCCATTTCTCAGTGGGAGATATCCCACTACTACATCAACTACTGAATCCTCAGCCCCATCTCCACCTCCAACAGGAGTAGCATCCACCCAAGCTGTAGCCCTACCTGAACCTAAAAGAGTGACCACCTGAGCATTGGGCCCACTTCGACCAGGAGGAGCATTCACCAGAGGCTCTGCTCTACTTGTGCCTGAAGGAGCAGTCAAGGGAGCCACAGCCCCCAAGAGAGAACCCCTGAAATACAAGCTCCACCTATGCCAGTTAGAGAAAGAGATGCAAAGACAATAAGGAAAGAGAACACTCAATAATATAAAGAGCAATAAGGCACCACTAGAAGCTAGTGGTGCTACAACAGCAAGAACGAAACATCCCAACACAGATGAAGTAGAAGAAAACAACCTAAAAATAATTTTATAATGATAATTGAGGTCCTTAAAGAGGAAATAAAAAATTCTCTTAAAGAAATGGATGAAAAGACAAACAAAAAATTGGAAGATATCAACAAATCTCTTAAAGAAAACCAAGAAAAAGCAATCAAACAAATGAAGGAAATGATTCATTCCAGACATGAAATGTGAAACAGAGGTGATAAAGAAAACACAAACCGAGGGAATTTTGGAAATGATTCATCTGGGTAAAAATCAAGAACCACAAATACAAGCATAAACAGAAGAATACAAGAGATGCAAGAGAGAATTTCAGGTATTGAAGATAATTTGGAGGAAATAGACAACAAATCCTTAACACAAGATATGCAGGGAATCTGAGATACCATGAAAAGACTGAACCTAAGGATAATAAGGATAGAAGAAGGAGAAGTCCAACTAGGAGGCACAGAAAATATATTCAACAAAATCACAGAAGAAAAAATCCCCAACCTAAAGAAGGACATACCTATGAAAATACAAGAGGCTTACAGAACACCAAATAGACTGGAAAAAAGAAAAGTCCCCTTGCCACATGATAATCAAAACAATGAACATATAGAAAGAATACAAAGGACAAAGGTCAGGTAACATATAAAAGCAGATCTATCAAAATTACACCTGACCTTTCAATGGAAACAATGAAAGCCAGAAGGTCCTGGTGAGAGGTTATGCAGACACTAAAGGACCACAGATGCCAGTCCAGACTACTTTACCCAGCAAAGCTTTCAATAACCATAGATGGAGAAAACAAGACATTCCATGATAAAAGCAAATTTCACAATACCTATCCACAAACCTAGCCCTACAGAAAGTACTAGAAGGAAAATACCAACCCAAGGAAATCATCTATCTCCACAAGAACACAGGAAATAGATGAGCTTACAATAGCAAATCCCAAAGAAGGGAATCGAACACATAATGTTATCACCCACAACAAAAACAAAACTAACAGGAACTAGCAATCACTGTTCACTAATATCCTTTAATACAAATTGTCTCAATTCATATATATATATATACATATATATATATACATATACATATACATATATGTATGTATGTATGTATAAAGCACAGGCTGACAGATTGGATATGAAAACAGAATCCATTCTTCTGCTGCATACAAGAAACACACCTCAAACTCACAAACAGACATTACCTCAGAGTAAAGGGTTAGGAAAAAAATTTCCAATCAAACTCTAAGAAACAAGCTGGTGTAGCTATCCTAATATCTAACAAGACAGACTTTAAATTGAAATCAATCACAAAAGATAAAGAAAGGCATTTCATATTTATCACAGGAAAAAAATCCATCAAGAGGAAATCTCAATTCTGGGGCATCTATGCCCCAAACACAAGGGCTCCTGCATTTGTAAAAGAAACATCACTAAAGCTAAAATCACAAATCAAGCCTCACACACTAATAATGAGAGATTTTGACACCCCACTCTCACCACTTCTACCAGACAGAAGCTTAACAGAGAAATAAGGGAACTAACATAAGTTATGATGCAAATGGACTGAACAGACATCTATAGAACATTCCACACAAACACAAAAGAATATACTTTCTCTTCAGCACCTCATAGAACTTTCTTGAAAACCAACCACATACCTGGTAACAAAGCAAATTTAAAAAATTGTAGTAAAGACCTGTACCCTATCAGATCACCACAGCTTAAAGTTAGAATTCAACAGCAACATTGATTTCAGAAATGATAAACTGAACCACCCCTGGGTCAAGGAAGAAATAAAGGAAGAAATTTAAAACTTCCTAAAATCTAATGAAAATGACTGTACAACATACCCAAACTTTTTTTTTTTTAACTGTTGAAAGACTTTTTTATTTGTGAGTAAAACCTGTTACAATGAGGAAAGGACAAGCAGGACCTGTCCTCTAAATCTGTCCGTATATGCAATAATATTTCATGTGTAATACAAAGAATTAGACTACAAAACTGAGAGTTCATTGCATATGTGGGATAAAGGAAGGGGCAGGAGGGAGGATGAGGAAGAGTCGGGATGAGTGAAATCAGGACTAGGCAACATACCCAAA